ATAGTCTGCCCTGTGTATTGCCCAATAAACCCCTTGGACTTTTAAACCCTAACCCTGCTTTCTTTCCCCCATGTGGGCCACTTTGTGGCTGTAATAAGCAGCACAGCTTCCATTTCAAAATGAATTACAGCATGCACAGTGTATTTGCTGCAGTCATATAACTGGGTGTGTGGATCTAATCCCAAAACAATATTTTTAACAATATTTTCAGCAGTCATAATTAACATAGAACAAAATTCATGAGATGTAACACAACTGGCAGGAATTGAGTTTTAAACTAATTAGCATACAGACATTTTAAACACTGGGGTCCACACAGATCTGTACAGTGCAGTGAGAGCTGATTACAGGAGTGATTCAGCTCTCATAACTGACAGTTGGCTGATATGAGACAAGAAGCTGCTCATGCCGCAGCTACCTAAAATAAACAAATATTGTAATTCCACCTAAATAAATGTGATTTATATTCCTCTGCTGTGAAACTATGAATGGTCCAGCCCATGCATTGACCCTATCAAGTAAATTAATAAGTGAGAATAGCAATGCATGATGTCCTCATTTCTGAAAAAGAAATGAAAAAGTCCAAATTAACATTTGATTAGTGGGAATGAAATGGTGTGAATGCAGCGGGTCCCCTGTATGACTTGCCTTGCAACCATCACAGAAACACTGTATAATATAAGTTCTGACACAGTTCATGCTTAGACTGTATGCTAATTAGTTTAAAACTCAATTCCTGCCAGTTGTGTTACATCTCATGAATTTTGTTCTATTTTCAATTTATATTCTGCATCAGCTGTATTACAAGTTGAGGCACAAAATACATGTGAGGGTCTAAAAATATTAGAGGCCTAAATAAGAGAGACCTGAACAGGAGCTTAACTCACAGTAAATAATCTCCACATATGGCTTATCCTTCAGCCCTTCCCCTAGACTCTCCTGCTTTGTGTGTACATGTTGGGGGGCATTCAAGTTGTACCATGAAATACCTATAGTCTGTGGTTTTACCTGTCCTCCAAATGCAACATAACTGACAAATACCAGTTTAGTATTTAAACTATCAAACAGGACTGACCTCAGTATCTCCAGTTTACTGCGTGACTCCTCCAGTTCAGCAAAGAGCTGCTTCACTCCTGAATCCTGCAGGTCATTGCCACTCAGGTCCAGCTCTTTCAGGTGTGAGGAGTTTGATTTGAGAGCTAAAGCCAACCATTCACAGTGTTTCTTTGTGAGCTTACAGCTGTTAAACCTGGAAAAGAACACATTTTCAGACACAACATGAACACTGGTAATAGTACTGACACAAAACACAAAAACGAGCATTTGATTTCAGTAAAATTGTCAGGCCTGCCTAGTTTGTCCCCTGCAGTGTGTTATTGGATAATTGCTCTTTACAGCATGTCTCTATGAATTTACAGTGGGTCAATCTGGACAAGGAAACATGCCAAGAAACAGACATACATCCTAGACATTAACGGTACTTAAACAAAATATCAAATAAGCATCTCTTTTTCAATATACTGAGCATAACTTACATAACATGACTTACACTGAAGAGTGTACTGTATGTGTATATGTTCTGTGAATTAGTGGATCATAAACTATTGTATCGGCAATCTATTGAAATGCAGATCTCATATCTAATATTGCTTTATATTTATAAAAAAAACTGAACTTCTAAAATTTACAGTGAGGAATACCCAATAATACTGACCTCAGTATCTGCAGTTTACAGCGTGCAAACCCGAGCATTTCCAATTCCTTACTAAATATTGATGTTAGCCAGCTGAAAGTGAGCCATTTCGATGTTGAATCCAGGTTATTGTCACTCAGGTCCAGCTCTCTCAGATATGAATTTGATTTGAGAGCGGAGTCCAGTGCTAAACAGGATTGCCAACTGAGTTCACATCTTTTCAGCCTTTAAAAGGAAATATCAAAGCCACAGTTTACATTTAAGAATGAATTACAGTGTGCAGTGATCTGTCTCTCTCATGATGAGATGAGTTGCGATGGTATTTTATTTACTGTAGTCAATCCGTGGGTCTTACCTCAAATCCTTATATTTATTGTATTACTGTACAGTTTCAGCAGACAAAGTACTGTAACATAAGTCACACTGTATTGCATTTTACCGACAGGCATAAAATATATACACAAATCATATATAAATATAAAAGGATATATCACTGAAAAAAATTATTCAACTTAATTTCTTTAAATAACACCAAGAAGTAAGTTGAATCATTTTTTTCAGTGATATATCCTTTTATATTTATATATG